GTGACTTTTATCATATTAAGGAGCCTTTGAGTATCAACTGTTAGTGGAAAAAAAAAGCTCATCTGTCTGAAAAACAGAACAAAGGACATAAAACTACCTCTCTAAAGAGTAGTAAATAAAATAAATAAAAATCTCATATTGAACAGTTTGATACCTTCACACGATCTCTTAAGAAGAAGGGAACAATTAAGTGGAAAAGTGGAACAATTAAGCTCATTCATTCCATTCTGTGGTCCTACTGGTTTCCCATAATTTGGCACAACAGCCAGAAGTGTCATTTGCCTGTCTGGAAGGATGGAAAAGAAAATCAAAAGAATTGAAAATGTAAGCAAATATCCTCCCTACCTCCTCCTCCCCTCTCTACACCCTTTCTCTTTTGTTTTGTTTTGTTTTGTTTTATTTGCGTCCCTGGTTAAGATTTTAGGAATCTGCTAGATATAGCTATTTTGGAAACACATATTCTTGACTGGCTTTCCTCATGACTCAAAAATGATTCCAAAGGCTAGTACTGTGATAAGAGAGTGAGAAACTTAAGAAATTTAATGTTGAATGCTAATTCACTCTCATACCACAGTAAAGTTTTACATTTTGCAAGGCTGGATGGAGGTCTACCTGTCTTGCTTTCTGTTCTACAGGCACTGTGGACAATGTCAGAGGAGCAAAGACTGAAAAATGTTCAGTCTCTGCCTCTCTGTGGCTTTGTCCAAACCCATATAAAACTGTTCCTGGCTGTCCAGACCAGGGGGCTACTGCAGGCCAATATGTGCTCCTTCTGGACCACATGCTATTGGATTCGTCTTGAGAGAAAGCAAGGGAACTTGCTAAGGAGTGAAATAAAGGAAGTGTGGGAAATCAAACAAAAAGGCATCCTGTGCGCACAGAGAAAAGAGCTGAGATTAAGGCTTATTTTCAGGGCAAATTGATTTCTGGATTCCTAAAATACTTATTTCCTTCCCAGTTTGCATAATTTGCTCCCAAACACACAGAAGCAAGCTTTTGTCTAAAAACTTTGCTTTTGGATTGAAATACTTTCTTTTCCTTCTAGTTTTTGCTGTGGAAGTGAGAAACTGGGGTAACAAATAATTTGTTAGCAATATTTAATGTTATGATGTTTTCAAATGATACAACACCAGCTCCTCGGTTTCACTAAATTTCTTAGAAACTAGAACAAAAATTTAATTTTAGAGCATTTCAGACTAAAAGAAGTATTACAGAGAGCTCATGAAATACTAGTGCAAAAATATCATAATGTCTAGCAATTTTTTTACAGACTGAAAGTTGTTTTTCCAATTGTTTGCTCTACAGTTTACTTATGTGTTTGCATTGCAAGTAATTGAAACTTTATTTCTCAAAATTTATTTCTCAAACAACTTGATTTGGGGCACAGAAAAAAAGGCAAATTAATTTCAGAATTTATATTAAACAATACACAGAAGACATAAAGAATCACAGAATCATAGAATGGCTTGGGTTGGAAGGGACGTCAAGGATCATCGGGTTCCCAGTCCCCGCTGCAGGCAGGGTTGCCGACTGCTAGATCAGGTAGCAGATCAGGTTGCCCAGGGCCCCATCCAACCCGGTCTTAACACCTCCAGGGACAGAGCATCACAACTTCTCTCGGCAACCAGTTACAGCACCTCACAACCCTTCCCCACCTCTAATCTAAATCTTCCCTCACTTGGTTTGAAGCCCTTTCTCTTTGTTCTGTCACTATCTATCCACGTAAAACTTGATTTCCCTTCCATTTATAATTTCTCTTTAAATACTGGAAGGCTGCAATGAGGTCTCCTCGCAGCCTTCTCTACTTCAGACTGAACAAGCCCAGTTCCTTCCTTCTTTGTAGGAGAGGTGCTCCAGCCCTTTGATCATTTTTGTGAACCTTCTGTGGACCCTCTCTAAACGCTCCTCGTCTTTCCTGAGTTGGGGGCCTGAGACCTGGACGCAGTGCTCCAGCTGGGGCCTTTCGAGGGCAGAGCAGAGAGGGACAATCACATCCCTCAAACTGCTGGCCATCCCTCTTCTGATGTACCCAGGATATCGTTGATCTTCTAGACTGCTAGCACACATTGCTGGCTCATGTTAAGTTTTTCATCTACCAAGATCCTTACATCTTTCTTAGCCGGGCTACTCTCAAAGAGCTCTTCTCCCAGTCTGCATACATGTCTGGGATTATCTTGACCTAAGTGCAAAATCTTGCACTTTTCTTTTTTGAACCTCATTAGGTTCTCATGGGCCTTTTGACATTATCAAGGTTCCTCTGGATAGTACCCCTTCCTTCTGCCATTATCAACTGCACCACTCGGATTGGAGTCAGCAAATTTGCTGAGGGTGCACTCAATCCCACTGTCTGTGTCATGATAAAGATATGAAAGAACACTGGTACAAAAACAGAACCCTGAGGGATACAACTTGTGACCTGCCTCCCCTTTGACACAGAGACATTGACTATAACCCTCAAGCTATGACCTTCCAACTAATTCCTTATCCGCCAATTAGTTGACACTTTGAATCTGTATCTCTCCAATTTTGAGACAAGGATGTGGTGGAGGACCATGTCAAAAGTCTTGCATAAGCCTAGGAAGATGACCTCAGTTGCCTTCCCTTTGTCCACCAGTGCTGTCACTCCATCACAGAAGACCATCAGATCGGCCAGCCATGAACTTCCCTTGGTGAAGCTATGCTGTCTGTTTCAGGTCACCTTCCTGTTCCTCCAGTGCCTTATAAAAATTCTGTATAAAGCTATCACATGCCTACTGACCACAGTAAAAATATGTTGTCAACAAAATAGCAAAAATTAGCCCTGATTTTTTTAGCAGTGATCTCAGAAAAGAAACCTATACACAATAAAATACAGCCCATGTTGTGACAAAAGTCTCAGTAAGGATCTCTTTGAATAAGGATCCGTATATAAATTATGATATCATTTTTAAGGCAGAAGTTGAACATTTGGTAATCTTGCCACAATTTATATTTTTCCCTTACAGCAGAAAATGCCTGAGTTGGTTTGGTTTCTGCATCTTGGTATACTTCACAGCACAGTCTACTGTGCTGGAAAGACTTCTCTGACATCTAAATCACTTCCATATTATTGTTTCAGTTCAGAACACAAAAGAATCTTTGAAGTGAATTTTCAGACCATCCCCACTTACTATGCTTTGGTTCATATGGATTGGATTTATTGCACAGTGCCTGGCATCCTTCCAGATAAAACTAAACCAGAGCCAACCTAACATACCATTTCAGCCACCAAAGGCTACCCAATCACAAGACCGGACAAGAGCGAGCCTGATTGATCTCCTCTCACTTTCAAAGCTTGCGTTATCAACAGTGTCAATTTTTCTAGTGTTCCACACTAGTTGCTAACATTGACTTAAGCCTTTGTCTCTCCATGTATATAAATCAGGCATTTTTAACAGTAAAATGTCTCAAAGTATTATTCTTAAAAAAATCAGATAACTGCAGTGTCCAATTAAATACTCATTACCTTTGCCAAACCTGTATCATGATCCCTAATAAATACTGTATTCACATGTCACTAAAACATCTTATGGTGAAAGAAACTTGAGGAAGAAGAACACACCTCTGACAAATCTACTTTTGTGAGGAAGTGGTCAGCAAAGGCAGTAAGAGATTTGTGGGAAAGATTTCTGCCACTGTCAGAAACAAAACGTTTTTAATTGGTGGGAAAAGGCGAAAAACAACTATGGAAAATCCTTCTTGCAAAGCTAATTAAAATAATGCTGCTTTTTTCTTTCTTTTTTTTTTTTTTTTTTTTGGTAATTGAGAGATAAAGATGAACACTGAAATTAACATTGGACTATAAAATCTCACACAAACCTAACAGCATTCCTTCAGACAAAGCTCACTTCCATTAACACAGCTTCTCAAAAAGGCCAAACCAGTCCTCATGAAAACATGTTCACAGACAAATTGCACGAGTTGTTCAGCACTGCTATTTTGGCAAGGTCTCCAGCCAGATGGATTTGCTAATGACTCTTGTAAGGTGTTTAAATTAGAATCTAGTGTAACACATGACTGCCATGTTTAATTACTCTTTGCTGATATAGCTTAATGAATATTCTTTGGTATGTAAGAGTCAAAGTTTTTGATGAAAAATACAAAGACAAAATAGACTTTTTCATCTGAATATGAAGATATCAAAGCGTCAGTTTACTGCCCATGTAACTCTTCCTAAGACTGGATAATCAGAACAATGATTAGAGCAGGAATATACATTTGTCTTATGAAACATTTCTTAGCCGATACAAGCTAACAATGGATACAGAATTTTATTTGCATCAGTTGCATATATATTTTAACAATTCTACAATTTTCTGTAGGTCTGCCTGAATGCAGTCAGCCACTGAAATGTAAATGGGATACAAACATGATCTCAAATGATTTCGTTTTCTTTCAGAAGGATAACTTCAAAGGATCTTATTGGCTTCATTTCATTTTGTAAACTTCTAATTTTTTGGAGCAGACTTAGTACATATAGCTCAATATCACACACAAAACTGTTACAAAAGAAGAGGAACAAAGTAGTGCAAGCTATCATCAAGCTACTTTCACATCTCACATGCTAACACTGCAATCAAATCTTCAATTGCAGACACAAGAGGAGGATGGATGTTATTTGCTGTTTTGATAAATATAAAATAATACAGAAAAGCTAGACATCTTTTCAATTTTTTTTTTTCTTTAGAACATATTTATGCATAAAGCAGTTTTTCTCATTGGTCACTAATGAACATATGCCCATAAACAGTCAATACAACTTTTACTCCTTGACCTATGAAGCTACCTGCTTAGTTATAGGATAGGATACACCAAATCAACTCTCATAATGGTGACAATCCCTCATCAGTAATAAGAGACCGTAAGAGCTATGGGAGCTTGGAGTGATTCCAGATTGAGAACGTAGACTGAGCTGAACAGAAACCTGAACTATTTGTGATGACAGTAGTTGTAGATGATACAAGATAAAGTAATTTTTCAGGTTTAGATTTTGAACATTTATTAAAAAAGCAGGATGTATGTTCATTTCAAATTAAACAGTTAAAAATGTTAAAGCATACAAACAAATCAATTGTGTACTAGCAGCATCCAATTGTTAGAATTTTCTAGAACTCCTCAGTACAGTCTTGGCAAGCTAAAAATATTACAACTTGCAACCAACTGACCTCACCATAGTGCAGATAAAACAAACTTTATAAAATCAACAATTTAAGGTTAAATAAGCTTAAATAAAGGTGTTAAATACAAGACACTTGATCAAAGCTTCTGTACAAAGATAAACAAATTTGGCATTATACAATTGATTGGCTGGCTCACACCATACATGTTTCCAATAGTTAAGCAGTATAACTGTTTAGCTGAACATCAACTATACAAAAGTAATAGAAGTTGGGAGTGGGCTAACCCCTGTGAGCCATTTACAAGGCATGTGTATCTTTAGAAAATCAAAACACTGTTTATATTCAGGCACCATTTGTTCCTGCAAATAAATAATCTCTAATGTATCTGCATCCAAACTAGTGTTAAACACATCAGTGCTAACATTTTATAAACACAGCTTTTTGACTATTCACTATACCTCCATTCTTATTGCTATGACGATGTGGACTGGGGAAATAAAACTACTGTACATACAAAAAAATAGAGCACCTTTTAAACATTAAAGTATATGTCTGGTTATTCTTTTTATCTTACAATACTGAAGCCCAAGCTAATGTAAATTGCTTTAACATCTTCACCAGTGCACCTGAAACGCAGGAACTAAAACCCCAAATATTCCTTTTCAGGCAAGCCCTAGCCAGCACATCCTCTAAAAATGTCTAAAATGACACTAGGAATTTTTTTACATTCATCTTCACACAAACAAATATCTGCTATTCTCTCCTTTCTTCATACGAGCTTAAAGACAAGTTACCACAGGTCTCTCTCCTTTTCAAATGAATAAAACTGGATAGAGAATGTAGCAGAAACACCTACAATGGATTGTGAACACAGTGAAATTATTACCCCGTTAATTCAAAAAAATACAGCTGCTACATTACAGCTGTTACAAGTAAGTATTTTCCAAGGGTTCAGCCATTAGGATTTTTTGTCGATCGTATTGAAGAACCATTCTGTAAATTTCCTCAGTTGAGCAGCTGCTGTTTGAGACTCCTCTTGAAGCCTCATGTTATCTTGCCTCAGATGCTGTACCTCTGCTTGGAGAACTGCTTTGTCCTGTTTTTCCTGGTTAACAGAGATACAAGTTGAAGAAAGCAAGCAATTGAGATTCAAGGACCTATATAGTGTTACTGTTAATATTTCCATGCAAACCATTCAGCTATATTCTGTTGAGCACTCTAATGTATTTTGACAACTGCTAACGGTAAGTTGATTCCCAAAATGTGTTTCAAGTGCCTCATTCCTTCTCAGTACATTGTTATGAAGATAAAATGATGCAAGCTAAAAAGAAAGCTAGACCCTATTTCAATATCAAAATCATAGAAATTCACTCAATTCAACAAAAATTCAAGGAGTAAAAAATAAGCAGATTTTGAGTATTATAAATGATATGTGAAAGTCCAGGAAGAAAGAAAATTATCTACTTTCAAAATCTTCCCCATAATAATTATTTTCTGACAAAAAGCAGACTCATTTCCACCAGTCCTTGGCATTGTTCCCAGCTCAGGAATTACAGCAAATGAGATAAATCAAGTCATTGTTACATGATTGAGGCACACATGAGGCAAGAAGGGTGACAAATCTAGAGTGCTAACTTCTTAGTAGCGCTTGTGTGCATAGCCCTATGCTTTGTTAAATCTCAAACATCACAAGATAGGGATTAAGTACATTATTTATTCTAGAGTAGTATATATAGGATAATTAATTCTGCAGTAGTCAGCGACCTGCAAACTTGTTAGCCTTGCAGCAATTTGTTTGTGTAGCCACTCCCACACTTATCACTAGACCCTAATGACCCTATGACCCATAAGCGTCATTATGTTACCTATTTTAACTTACCTTAATGACCTTCACACAAAAATCTATCTATTAAAATTAGAGAGCAATAATACCAATAGCATACTCTTACCTTTCTCAGGTCAGTCTGTAGTTGCCGAAGGATCACTTCCAGCTGGTTAACTTTTCCAGTCAGAGTAGTTGGAGCATGCTCCCTGTAAACAAAACCACTACATTCAATTTGGGTTACTTAAAAACATTTCAACCCCTGTTTTCTCCACCCACTTTTGCAAAATAATACTTCTAGTGATAGCAGGGGAAGCAAATCGCTTTAGGGACAGTTGGGAAAACCAAGATAAAAGCAGCAACAGTGGAAGACTACTTACTATCAGTACACAAACCCACTGCTATGTTATTTGAATTATGACACTGTGTCTCATTCAGGTCTCTCAGGAATCAAAATGATTTTAAGGAGGAATGTTTCAGGTTTTATTTGCACACACCTTCCCACTGCAAGTCAAACTTGCTGGTAAATGGTATGCTGAGCACATTTGTTAACAAGCTACTTTCAGATAAGGACTGTACTAATCTGAAGCAAGCTGCAGCAGTAATTTTTGCAAATTAAAGGATCCATTTGAATTCTTTTGTCTGGTTTGCAGTTGTGTCATTTCCAGCAAAAGATAAACCTACAGCTTCGTGGAGACAAATATTTTGTTTAAAGGTCAAAACATATGAAATATTGCTACAGGTTAATCAAATGCATGACTGGAGGAAAATATTGAGAATAGCTACTGTTCCCTGTATGACACTGAACACTGGCAGAGTTTCATAATATGTTATAGATGAAATTAGCCATAATGTGAACTATTATCTAGAAAATCTGAAGAGAGAGCAATTTTTTTTTAATACAAAGCTGAATCAGTTTCTTCAAGCAAGTGCAAAAATCAGTCATTTTCCAATGCTTAAAGATGAACATTTTAAAATCTTTTTGCAGTCCTTACTGATCACTAGCTGGTGAAGGATGTGGACTTCGAAGTAATGGAAATAAACATATTCAATCATGTAAGTTAATTTGTTTAAAATGTGTTCAAAATTAAATGGGACATTCTAACAAGCAAGAAGACTAAACCCTTTCTTATCCCTCCATTTCCTCTTATCCATTCCTGTTGCTGAAGAGCAAAACTAATCAAAGACGTGTTTCCTTTCTAACATGAGCTAATGGACAGAATCTACTCCCCACAACAGAGAAGACAGGAGCACACTTAGATTACTGGGGGTGAAGAATTTGGGCAGTTTTGGCACAGAAGTTTCCCGCAGCCCCCAGTTATAGGTTCTCTTGATTTATTTCTCTCCTCATAAATGAAAAAGTAGCAATTTTTCCTTGAATGTGAACAGCTGCAAAAAATAAATAGGAACACCTGCTCCAAGAGTTGAAATGTTTGCTGCAGATAAGAGTCTTGCATCCTACTGAGCTGAGCTCCTTTTACCAGTTCAGATGAAAACAGAAATGAATGTAACACAAACTACTGTTGCAAAGGAGGAACACAGTGAAAAATGCGGCTTTGAGGTGCAATAGATCAGTTCAGGTTAATTGGTTAAACTCTGCATATACCTTTACTGTTCTAATGAGAGAGTTTTTCCTGGCTATGCTACAAATTTCCCAGATGAAAATGCTCTGAGTTTGATTCACACTGAAACAACATTTCAAAAGTAAAGTGAAGATGTGATCTGTCAAGGCAACAGTTCAGCTATGAAATAATGAAACATTCATGTAGACAGTTAGACATCACATGTTTTGAAGTAAAACCCTAAGAGCCATTTTCACTGATAGTTCATATACTTGGCAAAAATACTATTGCAAAGACAAAGGCAATGTTCACACAAGCAAAACTGTGTGCACTATATACAGATTGCTTTGATAGATTGAAACTCAGAGAAGCAGTCCTTGTTCAGTAAATTCATGATCTAAATTAAGACTGTAAGGAACTGTTAGGATTTTAATTCTTTATGGCAACTATTATGCAAGGCAGTGCCATTGAGAGGACTTCCGAAGTTAAAAATTGTGTCATTTTCCTATGGTTAAAATCTGTCAGCTGAAGAGCAGTAAGAAAACATTCTTAACTTTCACAAAACAGAAGCTGGACGAAGATAATTCCATACAATGTCATATTTTCTTCCTCAGATCTTATAATGTGTTAATTTCTGAATAGTTTAAACAAAATGCTAAAGTGCCCATAGCCAAAAGGTAGGTAACATCAGGATTACAGCATTCATTCCAGAACACTGACCTCAAAGCAAATATCCAAATGTATCTCCTACCCTTTTCTCTCTCTTTTTTAAAAAATTTAATAATAAAATACTAAATTTAATTTTGAAACTTGCATATTTTCAGAGTACAGGAGCTCTGCTTCCTATACTCCTCTGGTTTCTTTTTTTCACATTTAATCACATGATCAAAGAATGGTTTGCATTGGAAAGGATCTTAGCTATCCACTAGTCCTAAACCAACTGCCGTGGGCAGGGCTGACACCCACTACATGACATCCTGACTCTTATTTTCCTTCTTTACTTTTTGGCTCACAAATTATTCATTTTGTCAAGTTTTTTCTTTGCATCTCCTTCCATGTCCCCTTCCCCTTTACAGCATTTAAGTTAAGGAAAAGGATATGTAACAAGCAACACTAGGAGAAAAAAGAAAGCAACTTTTTTGTTTTGCTTTGTTTTAAGGAAATGTGCTGTAGTTTTGACATACCCAGCAGCATCAAGAAAATCTTTTCCATCTGTGGGACTCTCATCCAAAGGTAATTCTTGTGCTCCTTCCAAACCCTGAGCATGCTGCATATCATCCAAGGTGCAAAAAGATGCTACTCTCTGATCTGTAAAAAAAAGTAACGTAAGGTTATGTTTAAAGATGTATATTCATATATATAAAATAAAAGGCTCTATTACAGCCATTGTTCTTGCTCAGTTCAACAAAAGGATGTAGATTTCTACATCATAGCTTCGAAGATAGTCAGCAGATGTAAAGTATGTTCTAATTAGTTGGCTTCCCCACATCTGCATCCAAAGGCAACCTCAAAGCAAATTTTTTGCACCTCAGATCTGTTTGGACTAGTTAAAACTGATATGATCAGTAAATTGGTCTTGATGAAATCCACAGAAAACTGCTTGAGAACTCAGGGCCACAACCAGTGTCAATATGAATTCAATGAAAAAGTTTGTATTTTCTATAGACTTAGAGCCCTTGGATTCCTCAGAAATCTTTACTGCCAATTTTGTACTTTTTTGCAGTTTACTATCATCTCAAGCATTTGCAGAACCTTCTGGTAATCTGCAGACTGGAAAAAACAAATTCATGCTAGTTTTATCAGTTGAGGTTTTTGTTATACATATTACAAAGGCACACTATTACCTATGTTGGATTGCACTAGAGTGTAATCTAACAAGCACAGGTTTTACCTATGGATATACAGTGTGGTTGCCAAAATACATCAGTTATCACGTAATAGAACTATGCCATGCAGATCATAATTGCACAGAATGGGAGTAAATTATGCATTCATTAGGATTTAATTTGTCTTCTATAAAAATATAATCCATATTCTGTGGAGATTCATTTAACTTATTTCTCTTAAGCAAAATCCAAGTCCTTAGGTTTGTTTAAATTCTGGTGACAACATGCCTGCCTCGCCTTTTCTCCCCTTGCTCTACCACCCCAGAGACCCAAAGCTTGCATTATCATGCAAACGTGCAAACACAGGAAATATTAAAGAAAGTTTACAAAATATAAAAGTCATCAATCCCAGATCATCACCTAGAAACGGCGTATGATGACAGAACGGCCCAAGTTCTTCATCTGAGTCAAAACCTGGAATAAGATTTAGAATGTTCCTATAAACAAGACAATCCATCTCCACTAAAGTAGCTGTGGCCCTTATGTAAAGTTCACAAAATGGGATACTCCCAGTGCAACTCATGCTGGCTCTCACTGCCAGCCTTACAAAACCATTTTTGTACACCAACATTACAGTAAAGCATGCGATGTCATGCACAGTGTCTCTAACAGCAATATCCAATGTTGTGCATGGCAACTTGGCACGACACAAAAAAGACAATCCTCCAAACTCTAAGCACCAAACAGCAAAAACAGGTCAGAACGCTTTAAATAGGCAGAAAAACTTGTTTTACAACTTGTCCCAAATAAAAATAGGAAATCATTCAAAAGCCATTTTAAAGGCATTTCTAAATGAACTTTTTTTTTTTTTTTTCAGAATAGCAAATATTAACCATTCATTTATTATATGAAAAGAGAAATCGGATGTCATATTTTTATCCAATTTTAAAGACCACAGCTCATTTAATTTGATTTTAACCTCATTTCTAACTTATGATAGACCTCAGCAAATTTGAACACGATGCTTTCACATGTGTTGAAAATAAGGTAACAATATAATTTCAAACACTAAATCAATTTGAAACGTATTAAGTGGATAGATTTAATAAGTACAGATAAAAAACCAAAAGGAGTTTCCCAACTCAAAAGCAGTATGTAGGCCAGAAACAAAACTGAATAAACAATCAGACTGACAATGGATTGGGTCAGAAGTTTGAAGTACATATCTAATTATCAATTTCACTTTTATACTGTTTACATTTTCATTGTCTCTTGACAGAAGAAACCAAAGTCAGCAACAAATGTTATTCTATGCTATTGCTATTTTTTCTATGGTCACTAACATGTGATGCGTGACATTGCATCTCAGAGGCCATACTGTCTGTAAGATAAAAACCTGTGTTTTTCTTCCACTGCAAAGTAAGCTTAATTAAAGAGAATGGCCACTCATTCATCATGTTTTGTCAGCTGAGAACATGTTTTGTCAGTTTGTTCTCTCTAACAGTGTTTTGAAGTAGCTTTCTCTTGATGTGTAAAAGCAGCTGTAAAAGTAGATGCATGCAGCTGTTAATGAAATCACATGATACAAGTTTTAAGCCCAATATTTTAAAATATCTTCATAATACGTCAACACACAACAAAACAAAAATACAAAAAAAACCCACAAAAAACAACACAAAAACAGGTGCTTGCAATTTAGTATAATTTGTGGATTGACTTTTTTTTCCTAGTATATTCCATAATAAATTTCAAATGCATGTCATTAAAAATAATAACACTTAGAGTAGGAAATAAATTATGAACCCTTTTCTGTTTACATAGTATAACTTTAAAATATTTTTGAAACATTCCTATATTCATAAAATATGAAAACATCTCCCATTCCTTAGATGAGGAACAAAGTCACTGCATGGCCATTAATAACCAGAAGTCTCCAGTTATATAGCATACTATGAAAACTCCTGCATTGCTCTTCAAAATAGGCAATTTTCAAAACCCTGGTTGGTGTCAAAATCATTCTCTGAACAAGTTACTGACACAATAAACTACTATATCAACAAGATCCCTGAGTACTAAAATATTTTGATTTTGAATACTTTTCAAGTACTTTTAAGGATGCATTTTTATATTCAATAACTCCTACCAAGCCTCATTGATCTCTCTGAAAGCATTCACGCTTCACAATAGTTTCACCAACTTACTATTTAAATCAAGATGGCTTTTAAATCTGAACTATGGTTAAAATTGAACTTGTGTTTCAAATACTAAAATTTTCCTACTGATTTTGTTTCTATTTATTCCCAACAGAACTGACTTGACTGTACTCACAAAAATGAAATCAGTGCCACCTTTGTTGATCTTGACTTTTCAACAGAACAATCAAGCATATTTCTGACTATTATACTGCAGGTACTGCTTCCTCAAAATTATGAGGACATCCCTAACTGCTAAAATATCAGAATTTTAGGTTTTAGCTGGGACATTCTTGCCAAACTATACAAGGACCCAAGTGCATAAACAATTTGAGAAAATACTGCAATGACAGGCTGAGAGAGTTGGGATTGTTCAGTCTGAAGAGAGAAGGCTCCAGGTAGACTTCATAGCAGCCTTCTGGTACCCAACCAGGGACCACAGGAAATATGGGTAAGACTGTTTATCAGGCAGTATAGTAATAGCATACGGGGAAATGACTTTAAAGTAAAAGAGGGAAGATTTAGGTCATTAGGTCATTAGGAAGAAATTTTTCACTGTGGGTGATGAGGCAGTGGCACAAGCTGCAGAAAGAAGCTGAGAATGCCACATCCCTGGAGGCACTCAAGGTCAGGTTGGACAAGGCCTTGGGCAGCTGAGCTGGTAGAAGGTTGGAACTACATCATCTTTAAGGTACCTTCCAGTTCAAACCACTCTACAATTCTACAGTGTATCAGTGTTTGTACAAAAGTTTAAAATTCTCAAAACAACTTTTACTTATTGGAGAGCAGAAAAGACTAAAATAAGCATGGAGCATGAAACAGCCCTTTCATTACAAAGTAAAGGCTACCTACAAACATGCAATGAGATTCTCATGGAAGCAAAACAGAGCTACACATGCATGCATTAGAAATGACCAAATCGTCGCTGAATATTTTCAGCTTTTATCAATCTAACAGTTTAATTTACTAATTTGATTTGAATAATTTTCTCTTGTTGAATGCTTCACTTCATTCTCATTATGTTGTGAGTAGCATTATTTGCACTAAGCCAAAAAGATTTTAAATGGAAATATTAAAATTATATTAATTATAGTAGCACAGATGTTTCTGCAAAGATAAGTTGGCATTAAGAAACACTACATTCTGATTGGCATGGCTAGTAGATGATCACAAAAATAACCTGGGAAATAATCAGAAGCTGAAACCACCTATTTAAATGAACTAAATTAAAGACATCACAGAAATGACTTCTAGGTTGTTAGTCCCATAATATTATTTATAAAACACTAACCTTTCTAAAGCAGACTACAATAAGTTTAAACAAACAAAAATAGAACAAAGATCTATTAATAATAATAGTGTTTATGTTTGGGCCAAACCTTTTCTATAATGGCACTAGCAGTTATGGACATCTTGAAAGACTTTACCTTTTATTCCACAAGTTCTCTAATGAATACAAAATGAAATATCAACTACATAACACATATTGAAAATCTGTCCTTCTTTCCTTACTTGGAGATCTATCAAAAGGATAATAAAATAATAATAAAAGAAAGAGAATTTAAAAAACAAAACAGAACAAAAAACACATTCTCTCATTTATTTATTTATTTTGGATTTCTTTGTTCTCCTTTTTCTTGTTCATCTCTCAACTTTATTCTTTAAATCTCCTCAAAAAGTTGCTTTACTTCTCTTTTCTTCTTTAACCTCATTTTTCTCTCTTTTGCTGCACAGTCATATGCAGTTCTGTCTATTTTTTTATGTTTTATTTCAGGTGTAGATACAACAGTATAGATACAAAGATACAGCCACAATGAACTTCCAACATGTCAGCTGTCTTACCTATAGCTATATCTTAGCTCTAGAGCTGTCTCTCTATACCTTCTACCAAAATAATACACGGGAAGTGGAAGTAGTGAATCTACATATGGAAGACATTGAATTATACTCCTTGCAACTGACTACATGAATGCTAAAAATGATCTCTGGATAAAAAAGTCAAATCTATGTCCTGCAGTGGAAGGTAGTGCAAATACTTAAAATAATGTTGCACTGAACTTTTTAGATATTAACCCTCAACACAAACAGCTCCAACAAAACCTATTACAGATGCAGCTTCTGGAGCTTGTGGAGGTAAACCCTGCGCAGCTCTTCATTGCACTGTGGAGACTTGTCCACGTAAAACTGGATTTTCCAGCAAAGTCTGAAGTAAATATTCAGCTTCTCGCAAAAGTTCTTGCCAAGCAAAAGTATCAGAAATGAAACTCTCACAAACTAAAAAAAAAAAAAGCCCTATCATGATAATTTTAATTTAACAAGTTATGACTTCCTCATACTCTTCTTCTCAACCATTTCCTCCACCCTCATTAGACTATAGATGAGAAACTGCTGCATTAATCAGAATACAACTGCATTTGCATATGGACAGGTAAAGGATTGTGGGGCCCACAGGATGTATGGATTTTTAACAGAGAAGAATGTATGTTCTTAGCATACAGTCTAGAAAAATAACTGAGGAAAAACTATGACCTTGTAATCAGTTTGGTCATTCTAATCAAAGAATACTAAAAGACCTTCACAAAGAAAAAAAAACCCTCAAATGAAGACTTGCATCTAGGTTCTAGAAAGGAACATAACTTTTAAATATCAGGTTGATAAAGTCAAACTAGAAGTCAACTCTAACATCAATTTCCCATCTTTGACCCTTTTTCATTGGTCTTTTTTGATCGTCCTATTTAAAATGTGATCTTATTTCCATTCCACTGAAAGAAAAGATCAAAAGAGTTTTATATTCATCAGTTTATGATTTTTAGAATTATCCACTCTCTCTTTTTCACTATGAAGAATGCAGAAAAGTAGTTCCAAGTTATTTTTGAATACTTAGATGAAGCAACTCCCCAGTTATCAACATTAAAACACATAAGGAAAAAACATCTGTCAATTCATATCCAACTCCCTCCCTCCTAATGAATTTTTTTTTTATGATATCCCTATCAGTTATTCTTTTTAAAAATGGTTTTCCAATTGCAGGAGATAGAATAGAGGAAGATGAACAAGTCAAAATTTTTAAGTTGCAGTATTATGAGTAAAGTCCAAATATATTACAAATCATCTTGCACATATGTGAATGTATCTACTGCAGAGTTCTAAACATGAAGAATTACATTCATTCACCAAATTGTATACATATATATATATATGTATATAATTTTCTGCCTCAAATTCTTCTAAAAAATCAGACTTAAAAACTTTCCATCTTGCAATTCAGCCAATCAATTCTTCACCTTAATTACCTACTAAGCTATTTGCAATTAAAATCCAGCAATATTTGCCCTCCCTAGAACAGGGCACTGTGGATAGCTGTGCTTCTTCTACATTTATCTCTTAAATGGAAATGGCAATTGCACTTATGTAACACTTAGCAAAATGAAGTTATTTTCACCAAAATATTAAGCAGTAAAAGTAAAGAAAATTGATTCCAGTTTTCAAAGAAATAAAAAAATGTAGAAGCATAGCCTATATGAACAAGCTTTTAGATAGCTGAACTCAAATGTTGTATTAGTATTAGCATTTAAAAATATTCTTAGAGAACCAAGTTATCAAATATATAATTCACTGTTGTTTCAGTTATTTACTAAAAGAAAATACTAGGATGTTTCCTGAGTGTAGATAAAATAAACAATACAGTTCTCTTGGATGCTGATCATCATTGTTGATCTGATTATTTATTTATTTTTTTTAATACTGTTTGTTTTCCGAAATTTTAATTATGCCAACTAAATTAGTAAAGTACTTCTGAAGAGCTTTTGAAATTTAATCACTTCATACTCAGGGAGGAAATCAGTACCTGAAGTCTTATTACCATGGTTGCTTTTACCAAAAAAAAAAAAAAACCACAACAAGAGCCAAACAAACCAGCACCTTATTACTAACTTAACCCATTCAGCTGATAAAAATGGGACCTACACATCATCCTTACTGATATCTCTGATTCATACATTCACCAGTGAGAATAATACCAGATAAAAAATGTTGCATGTTTTAGGACAGTCTTGTGACCCAACCAAAACTGGAAACCAAGAAACACAAATGTACAAATGGATAGATGATTAGACTCAAACACACATCCATCTTTCTGTGTTTATACATTACGAGTATGCTTGGCTGCCACAGAGGTGAATGAGGTTTTTCTTCATTAACCCAGTCTTATAATTTAATAACGCAAACCTAGTTTATATCCCATGCTTCAAATTCTGGTACTGGAAAGTACACCATACATTTTTGCTGTTTTCAAGAGCTTGTAACATCTCTTTGATACAAAGTTTTTGAAGACAACACAATAAATCCAGAGAAATTGTTACTCCCAATCACTTTTTAAGCATCTAACTCAAGTGCTTTGAATCTCTCCTTCAAAGCACCTGCTTTTTCCAATAGATTACAGAGAGCACTGTGTCCCTAAGAGATGAATGTTATCTAAGACAAGTACTGAGAGTATTTTAGAGAATACTCCAAATTTTCAGTGACAATCTTCATCACTGAGAAAGCACACCACTAAAAGAACAAAGGGGCTTCAAAGGTAAACACTGGATTTTTGTTAATTCAAAATGTGTCTGTATGTGTATGTACATATAAATATATATTCTTTTTCCCCCAAAAATGTTTGAGTAGTGAACAGTGATCTTTATTCAACTTTTCCTGTTACCTTCAAACGCTCGTGCAGCATCTACCAGGTGGGACCAGTCTAGCCCTGTGGCAGTGTCTGGCAGGGGCATCAGGCCAGGATCATTGAATTTGGCTTTATCAGATAAGGACCCATCTGAGAACCAGAATTCATCTAAACAATAAACACAATAATTAGTCTTCCTATAACAATGAAGTGCAATTAATTTTGAACCTGTTATAATGAACTGTAAATATATATATAAAATTAATGACTGCTACCTTTGTTTTTCTTTTTCCTGTTGTTTCTTGTTCAATACTCAATAAAGATGGACACAACTATTAACTCGAGAAAAATGAGCTGGCAAGGGTTTCTAGAGGTTTTTTTGTCCCTCCATACAACACGTGGTCTTTGCACTTTCCTGTAAATTCTGTGAGTAGGCAGCACTGATTCTTAAAGCATACTATATTAAACCTGGGCACTGAGCAGAAAAGTTGCTAGATGAACAAAGGTATGTTTTAAATAAAGCTGGGAATCAACATATGAAATATTTGCACACAGGGTTTTATTCTGGAATGTAAACATTTCAATTTCAAAAACATCACCTACTTCTATTGCATTTGTAAGTTCTAGCCTGTATCCAAGACTCACTTTCACACTGAAAATATTACCTATTAATACTTGTGTATCTGAGAATGCAAGATTTGCATGTCAATACCTGAGCTCCAGATTAAGGTGTAACATGCTGTACACTGAAGATTAGTGTATGCATTTCAATTAATCTACAATGTTAGTTCGTGCAGTTATGCGGTCTTTTAGAAAGATACCGTGAACATACAACATAGTAGAGGAGATGTTAATTTTCATAACTATCTTAAATAGTTTAATATTTTCCTTATCTTTCTATAGCAATCTTCACTGTGAATGAATATTGTAGAATAGACACAAAGATGATTTAAAACTACATTAAAAACAAATTTTAAACTGAATTTCATCTAAAGATACTGATGCAATCACTTTTATTAAACAGTACAGTCAAAAGAAAAATGATTTTTGCTTTTAAGATGTGTCAAAATACCTATTTTTTTCATTGAACACTTCAGAAGTAGAGGTCTCTACCATCTAACTATTCTAGTGCTTTAGATTACAATATTTAAAGTGATGTTTTTTCTAGCACAATACCATACATAAAAATCACTGAAGGAAAAAATGCACACGCACACATGGAAGATTATTCTAGTGTAAGGAAGTGGCACATTGTCATTGTCCAGAACCATAACAAAGAATACTGAAGTCTATTTGAATTAAATATTTGACGTAAAAATCCCAATGCAGAACCCTTATTCAGAACCCTTTACAGAACATTCCACTGCACAAAGCAATGATTTGAGCATGTAAAATTAGAGCTTTGTAAAAAAAAACCTGGGGCTTTTTTTGTTTTTATATCTGGAACATCAGAGGAAACGAGTTTTGCAATTCTCTATCAAGAACTGGAAGTCCCATGAATCAAAATCAATGCCTGTGAAGTAGAAATCCTATTTACTACGGACTTCATCTTGTTCTATGACTTACATGAAAATATTGTTCTACTACAAATGGAAAAGATTTGACAATTCTCTGTAGAAATGTATTCCACAGTAACCATTTTTGGGATGCCAAAGTAGATGATATATGAAGTGAAACTACTCATACATCTGTAATAATATAATATTATATTTTCAATTTCTTATAAACACAAAATCTTATCTAAGGTTATCTTGGAGTAAAAGTGCTTTGTAAGCTCAACAGTAGAGAATACTCTAAACTTCTGTATATGATTTGGGAATTGTAAGAGCCATATTTGTGCTAGTAGAAATGTTTTATATATTGCTGTTGGGGAAAACAGAGAGAAAATCTTATTTGAAGGCTGGCAAGCCAGCTTTTGGTTCTAGACCAGCAGGCAGGCCCTAAAGGGCAGCCCTTGCTTTTACACAATCAAGCCTACAAAGGCTGGTTGTGAAACCTGTCAGAAAGATGCCTGTACTCCTTACATTCTGCTGACTTTCCAAAGTGAAGTGTAGGAGTGATATATTCACCAGCAGTCAACATTCATTACACGCTGTCTTGTGAGAACCTCAGTTCACCTTAGGGTGGATTCTATTTGGTCCCTGACAGAGCAGCTTAACTGCTGAAAGCCTCCTGGAGTAGGAGATTTGAATATAGATAGTTCTGAAAACTCAAGTGCTCATGTTGATGGCTGATACTATAAGCAGGATAACTGAACAGGCATCAGTGTGCCACTGCAGAATAAGGAACTCTAAAGACATAGGCCTTTTTGTGCATCTGAACCTCAGAGAATACTATACTTTAGGAACCCTCTGGCTAGGAAGAATTATTTCTAGAGCAGTGCATTTGCATTGCCTTCCAGTTTCTCTTACCATCCTGTTGCCTACACATTTTCTTTGTATGAATACAATACCAGCAGCATGCAGGCTGCTTGCTGTTTTCATTTTTGACTTATGCAAATGTGACATGCACACCTTTGCATTTCCCGGAAGGCATGCAGAACCTCAAAGGTCATCATCTTCATTGCACGCAAGTTTGGTTTTGAACCAATGCAGACTTATTCCTTTATTTCCTTGAGGAAATAATGCATGTTATCTTTCAGTTTTAAAGATTACTTTATTTGCTCTACTCCAATTTGGCACAAAATCATTGATCTCCTGGCTTCTGGTCCTTTCATTCATGCCCCTTACTTCCTGTACTACAAATTTTCTTTATTTTTATTATTGCTACATTAAAGTAAAAGCATTTTCAAGAGTTCTTATTTTCACCAGAATAATATGGTAAACTCAGTTTGCAATAGAGATCTCCTGAAATTGACTGTTGTCAGTCCCACCCCTCCTGTATTCAAAGAGTAACTAGAAGGAGAAATTAAAAAAAGATTCACCTGGCTTAACCCTTTTTACTTCTAAGATAAGTATCTTGCTTCAGTCAAAACTGCTACTTTTATGTAGAGATTGTAGGCAGTGGAAGAATATCTGCTATGTACTTACTGTGTTCATAAACTAACACATTATTTAATAAGCAGATTATACTCAAAGGATGTTACAAGTGAAGGAACATAGAAAGTCATATGTGGACAAAAATCCCAGTGCCTCTTCCAGTTCTTTTTTCCTGCAATTAGTAACTATCTGCCTAGCATCTCCCCCCTCTGCATCATTGCCTAGGGTTGACAAAAGTCTCCCTTCAAAGATGCCAGCTTGCTAGTAGACTTTCTCATGGAATTATGTTTATATTACTGTTAAAACAGTGGGCATGTGCCCCAATAACTACCTTTATGCTGAACTTCTCACAGGCGTTTCCTACAATATGGAGGAAAACATTCAGAATTTGCTAGTGTCTTATTACAAAATATTCCCTTCTTAACGACCCTCATCAGTGAAAGTATCCTGCACCTTGCTCCTTTTCTCAAAGCACACCATCCTTCCTTCCATTTTTTTTTTCATTATAGGAGTGGACCACGGTCTCAGTCTGACTGCCTCTGTATGTCTTCCTGGATTTCTCTCACTTACTTTTGTATACTAATTCTGTATCTGTGGTTCTTGTTGTTTTCACTCCTTCACTGCTAGTTCAGCCACCATGAATTGACAAGACAGGGATACATTTGTACCTGCAACTGTGCAGGGTATGTGAGAATCACTCAACATGAAAAGCACTGTGTCAGGGAATCTTCAATGTCCCCAAGGTAAAATTTAAGAGTTCTCAGCTACAAAAGTTCTGCTTTTTGGTTTAAGTTAAAAACTAAGATAAAACAAATCTTTCTGGAGTTGAGTACTGTGTGCAATCCACAGTACTCATTTCAAGCTCTACTGAAAGCAACATTTTTTTTCAGTTCACTTCCTCCAGTGATAAAATGATAAAAAAGTCCTACAGCTTTATTTTCTCATCTCCTTCCCACAGTGAACATCACACAGTTTAAGTTCCTGTTTCCATATTTGCACAGTCATTTTGTCTGATTTTCTAGTAATCTGAAACCCTTCAGGTTGCCCATTATGCTCTGCTTTTGCTGTGGCTTTGCTTCGCTATTAATCACAGTCTATTTCTTGCTAGAGGGGTCTCACGAGACTTGGTGCTGCCACAATATTTCATGGAACACATGCTGGGTAATAACATGCAAGAGCATATCTAAAAATGAATTCTGGTCAAAACCACAGTATTTTTACTGATTTCTGTTAACATTAAATATCAGTAAAATTAAAATGTTTTAAGATCACAAATGGATTCATTTTATGGAAGATAGTACTATCAGAGCTCGGAGTCCAGGTATCTGAAACTGAAGCCTCCAACTATTATTATAAATGCAATAGAATGGAAATATCTGACACATGCTAATTATAAAATCCTCCCTAACAAGATTCAAGATTAGTTTCTTATAACTAGATACTGACTAGTAGTATTTTGAAAATAATGGTGGGCAAGTCATTATGTGTTTGTCTTCAGATGGCAATTACAGATAAACGATTATAGCTTCCTTAAGACAGTCATCATAACAGATCTTTTATCACTGGCTTTGAAAGGTACTTTTAAAATACAGAACCAGAAGCAGAAAATAGGACCTGTGTATGAAAATAACAGGAACTCTCTTGGCTATTAACAATCAGCTTCACACTGACTGACAGGATACTAATTTCATATTTTTTCCCCACTATGCACATAAGTGTCTGTATCTAAGATGCACCAAGAAGGGAAAATAATGTAAGACAGTACCAATACACAAAACACTGAAATTCCACAGCTGGAAGAGCAGTATAAAGCCTGAATGTGCACCATTAGTTGCTGTGTACCAGCCTCCAGAATGCTGAAGCCTCCAGCCTGATGAAGGTTTGATCGCTTTGCAGATTAACCATCCTAACAAATTGCTCTACAAGTACAGGTCTAACAGAAAAAAAAAAATGCAATCAGGAAGCCATTTTAAAGCCCTTAACACACTACAAAATTTCGTATTAGTCTCAAACGAAAGAAAATGGAGCTTCCTATTCTGAATTTATGCTAAAGAGTTTCATGCTGATGGAAGAGGAATAGTTTGAAGTTTGGCAAAAGGTACATAAAGCTTGCATTTCCAGCTGAAGCAGGAGTTTAGAAGTTTGTAATAGTTTAAAATGAAGCTCAGTGTGATGCACCTCAGTGTTACAGGAAAGTGTTTTTTCATATAACTTCATACTGAAAGCAAGTGATTGCTAGTGCCTTAAAGACATGATGAATGACAGAAGCCTATCATTATTACTTCAGTTATTTGTCCATATTCTCTCTGGACATGGGTTTACAAGCATCCTCAACATTTTCAGGAAATCCACCCACAGCTTTTCAACTATCAATTTCAGACTTCACAATTGTTCTATTTTTGTAAGCTGCAGTCAGTTGTGATACAATATTAAGGTAGCTAAGTATTTCTTTATTTCTAGATTTCATGTCTCCTATGGCCGGAGTGAAATAATTGAGCAGCATTTAAAAAAATAATAAAATTACCCTTATTAAATATATAAAGATGTGGCCTACATATATGCATCTGTGTGTGCAGATTTGGGCTGTGGTATATAAGCATTCATGTATTATATGATGAATGTAGCATTAATTTGAACGTACACAAAGACTGAAACAAAGCAGGCCAGTTTGCCTTGATTGGGGCACTCCTGGAAAATAAAATTATAACTAGAAATATCTTCAGACAATTGTTTGTTGTCGATTACTGATCATCTGAAAACTTCATAGGAAGTAAACACCATCTCCAAACATAATAAACCTGAACTGATCACCAAGGTAAGCATAAGCATGTACTGATGACCAAATATGCTTTTACCAGGATACCCAGAAGGCTGATGCGACATTTCACAATTTCCCCTCAAAAGTAAATTCCAACATATATTCCGAACTCAGCAACAACAATGACAATCACTTACTCCTCAGATTTCCCATTCCAGGTGTCAGGCTCATTCTGGGAGGCAACGTGCTGTGATATGGTGGAGTAGTGCTGAATAAGATATCATTTGGGAGAGCCTGGTCTAGCATTGAACTTCGAGAGCTGGCATATGAAGATCCTCTTCGATTGCTACATATACTTTCATCTGACAGGGTACGATAAAGTGTCCTCCGTGGAGAAAGGTTTCCATAAAATGAAAACTAAACATCAAAATATGGAGATATAAGAACATATATTACAGGTTAAAATAATTTCCACTAGCATATCCCATCATCAGACTGCTGGGAGTATTCTTCTGGGCAGGCATTCTGAAATTGTTGAGCTAACACAGATCAGAGATTTGTTCCATCACATCAGCTCTGTACTGAGGCCTCAGAAAGTTGAATTGGATTTTCATACTTCTTCCTCTCGATATTTTGGAACAAATTTCCATGAATTAATCAGATTTTGTGCAGCTTTATTAATTCTAAATGTTAAATGAAATCCCCATAGCATTATGACAGCAATTTTTTTTCCAGAAATATATGTATCTAAGACTACCAGCTTTTGGTAAAATTTATTGAGGACTGTACTCTTTGATTTTAATTTGAAATGGCTATGCTTTAATATTTAACATTCTGAACTGATACATGGTGCAATATAATTCATTGAACAGTAAGAGTGATTTTAGAGACTGCATTTCTACAAATATCATGAAATAGGCTTAGTGAATTGGATAATAGAGGTTAGTGGAAACTGTTACGTATTTCAAAAAGTTATTTAACCAAAACCCAAACATCTACAGCAGAACAAGATGTTACTGTAGTGTAAAACTGGGCCATTCCACTTCATAAGTCATTCTTCAGCACTGCAAATCCTGTTACTTCTCACATGTACAAAGGTCAGTTATTTTAATTATTTTAACTGGTTTCTCTTGCATGTAACAATTTAATATCTAGCCCTATTTGCCATGTAGCTAACTAGGAAAAGCATACTCTCTATGAAGAAAGTAAGCTCAGGACCAGTAACTCTTCAAAACAGTCAATCTAGCATAGAGTTAAAAATATCTACATTGTTATATTTCTGAACAAAATTCACTCACTGATGAATGCGTCTAAAAAGAATAGACAGAAACGCTCAATCATGCCACAAAGAACAGTCTTTGCAGAACAGTTAAATGTATTTCATATCTTTAGTTCAGGAAAGCATCTATCTTGAGGACAATACAGAAAATGCTGAATTCTTAGAATGTTTAACTATGTCCCAAAGAAGATTAAGGCAGATTCTCAGATTCTAATCTAGGAAAGCATCATAATATCAGCAAGGGGAAAAAAGAAAGGGGGGATGATCAGTTCTAAAGGTTGGAAACAACCTATATGATCATCCAGTCTAACCATCATAGGAATAAACATCAGGCCAAATCCTTATTTTAACACATGTAAAATAGTGGTATCAACAGTCATGAGCAGCAGTACTGGATAAAAGACATACACAACATCCATAAGTATATGGACATTAAGTATATGGTATCCTTTTATAAACAGTGGTTAAAGAACACCAAGAGCTGCTGAGTCTTAATAGGCACCACACTGGGCAAAAGATTAAATACCTTCTTTCTGTGAATTAAAAGCATCTCCAATCCTCTTTAACACACCTGAGATTCAGCAAGCATTCTGCTACAACTCTTCTATGTCTCTGAAGTCTCCCAACATCACATTACATTTTTATCTAAAAAGATTGGCCAGTAGCTCTTCAAATATGTTAAACTTTAATTGTCGAAGCTTTACAGAGTTTCAGAGCATGACAAAAATTAAACACTACACATTCTAGAGAGTTCACTATTCCCTGCTCTTTGAAGAAGGTGAGATAAAATGAAACCGAAGATGTGATTCAATTCTGTTCAATTTTACATACTCAGAAAAATTACTTTCTGGTTTGCTGTCAAAAGCAACTGACTAAGCTACAGCAAGATAACTACTCTCTACGAGGACATCATCAAAGACTGGATAGTGCTAATTCCTGTGGCTTCCTGTGGGGGTCTCTTGCAAATCAGAGCCCGTGGTCTCTCTTACTTAGATATCTTGAGGGGAGAAGGGGACAGTAGTAATAGATCTCAGAACGGCCACACCACCTCACTCCTTATGTAGGCAGCCTTGAAATGACAGAAACGTTGGCAATTCTTGAAATTGTCACACAAAGCCAAATTTTGCACTAATCATAATTCATAAAAACCTCTAGGACATTATTCATAAGAATTCAACTACATACTTAATGTACTTAACATACTTAACATATTGCACTTTAAAAATACATATAATCTGAATTCTAAACTCTGCACTTAGAGGATTCCCATGCGTTTCTTTTGTTCAGACGTGATTACGTTATTTAGCACACTGTATCAACACCAGGGGTTAAGAGGGCATTCAATTTATATCTAAGTGTGACAATTACTCAAGCAATTCAATTGTTTTGTGCTTTACTGCAAATTAAGCCCAAAAAATCAGAATCGTGTATACATGAAACCTACAAAATATTGAATTCCCTATACTCTTCTTGTGAACTTTTTAATATTCCTGATTGTCTTCATTCGGTATAGAGTTACGCTCTCCTCCAACACCATCAACTATGTACTTCCAGCTACTGGTTGGAGTACTTCCAACCACTGCCTATGTAAAATTGTGATTCGGACAGAATTGTCTGTACTGAGTAGCACAAGACAGGGGAAAAGCAGGCTTACTTTTATTCCTCTGCCTAAATATAATTTGAGGTGAATAAATGTAACCATCCAACCTTGAAAATGTTACTCTTAACCTTTGAAATTATAATTAACTTACTCAACCTTTACAGTTAAGCAGAGTCATACTTAGACAAACGCTGTATTTCATACATAATCATGAAGTAGGTATGATTTTCTTGATGTGGGAGCTGATGTTTTGGGATTTATGCTGAGTATTTAAAGCGTTCCCAAAGAATATACTTCGTTTACACAAAATGTTGCTGCCTTTCCTATAGACATTTTCGGAATGCCAGAAGATCATTTCTACCATAACTGTGTCTGAATTATATACAAAGAAAGTAGCTAACCTTTCTTCTCCCCTCCTCCGCAGAGATGTTTTCTGGAAGCATCAACTTCAGAAAATCTTCTTTGGACAACACTTGCTGGCTTTCAACAATGGCATTCCTCACAGCAGTTTGAAGTGGACTTGATGCAGACACAGCATCTATATCATCATATACTCTGTTGAAACAATTGCAAAATAAGCAAGAGTGCTCTTGGATTTATTTTTAGTCACAAAATAAAACTTGTTAGACTTATCTCCTGCTACAGCATGCTTTTATTCATAACATTTTCCAGGCATTTTATATTAAACTGTTTGTGGGTTTTATGGGTCCAAGATGAAATTCTTAAGTCACTGAAAGATCTGAAGAGGGAAAAAAAAAAAAACAACCAACAAACAAACAAACAAAAAAAGAGCATAATGCTAGTTCCTCCCAACTCGCCTCTCTCCTTTTCACACACAAGATTTCTGTATTGTTGAGGTTTTACTCATATCAACATTTTCAATAGCTCCTCACAAATCAAAACAATTTTTAATTCCTTAGCAAATAAGACAATCTAGATTTTTTAGTGTGATATTGTATCCAAACTGAAAAAATTACTATGGTCATCAACAGCAACATTTGAGGTATATTTGTAATCAATTGTGCCATGTGCCAAGTGTGTTTCATTATCAGCAATTTCATACAGCTATTTAGACAAATAAACAGCTGTCTTCTTTAATTATCAGTATATAAAAATGTATTTACAGTCAACAAAGAACTGTCAAGCTGAATTATTATTTTTCACCCTCCTTCCAGTGAGAAAGGAGAGAATTTTAGCAGATTTACTCTTGAAATGCAATCTAAGGAACCAGAGATTCCCAGTCACATAGAACATGCATTTGAATCCATTACTTACTGTCAAGTGCAGCATAATCAGTGACTCTGTCCTCAGCGGAGAGAAAACAAGCTTTGCTATGGTAAAGTGTAATTCTCAGTGAATTATATCCTATAGTGGCACAACATTCAGCAATTGACCTGATTTCCAACATCATTGCTAATTAGAGATGTTATTTTATTTCAACATAATTATCCTCAGAGGGATATTTCCTCTCTGTGATGTATAGAAAGCTTTCCTAGAAAGAAAGAGGTGAAGAAGTGCTCTAAACCATGGAAAAACCTGAAAATGTTTTCTGGTATAAGAAGTGCTGCCATATTCAATTAATATTTCATAAATTGAACTAGCTCTTGAAGATGCTTTTCAAAATAGCTGTGGTTTCATTCTAAATGCCATGCCTCATTATGCAATTTTGTTTTAAGGGTTCTATTTGAAATAAAAAGAAATTATTTCAGAGGTTCATTAATTTCAAAATACAAAAACTTGTAGGAATCAATGAAGCTACTACTTTCCAAATGCAAGTACTGCTATGACTGAGCAATTTAATATTTGAAAGCCTAAAATAAATAAGCAAACAAATAAACAGATCACCTGTACAGTACCACAGAGAAACGTAAATAACAAGGACAGGAAGGTAGTAAAGTTGTATTTTTAAATTTTGAAAATTAAAAATGTTAGCAATATCATCAAGCTTTTATCTTACAAATTTGTACACACATCCACTACAAAGTATTAGATGGAAATATCCCATTCCTATTAAATGGAGTAATCCTGTTTTAGGCATTTGAAAATCAGGGGCTGCATGCCATATTGTAAATTTATCAATATATGTAGGGCCAAGTATGATTTATTGAGATATAGAACTAAACAAATTATGCACAGAAAGATATCAAAGAGGTTATCAGACAAGATGATTCTCACAGTAACAGAAATTTGAACATTTGTTCTAAACAGCTGATTCAAGTATTAGTTATTGCTGCAGTACTTGGAAAGTTTCATGTCTATTTGAACTGCTGCATCTTTTCCTTTGAATGCAAGTGTTTTCCTTCCACCTAAGAGTAACACTTTCTTAATGAACTATTCCTACATTAAGTTGTACATGCAGCTGTTGACTAGAATTGATAAGATTATCTTTGTCTAAATGTTATTTGCTAAAATAAATTTAAAATGCACTGCTAATGAATCCTGCACATTGTGCTTAATCTCTTGAGCATCAGAGATTGGGATTAGAGACACCTGATCTCTGTCTTGTGAAGTCCTATCCACCAGTTCCCATCTATTTGTTAAAATACATCAGAAAAAAGTATATGGAAACCATTCAAATATCTCAAGTGGCATTATTTTTCCTAGTTACCCACATAGATGTGTGCTAAATTCATAGTCACCTCTCTCAAACTCTAATGTATTAGTTGACAAAATATGCAACAAGATAGAAAGGTTTAATACAGAAACATTAAGAAGCAAGCTATTTTCAAGTAACTGTAATGTTACTGAAGATTTCTAGAAAAGGCCTTTAGACATAATACAATTGTGGCTTTCCAATTGTTTCCCAGAGATTTGAAAAGGTCATACATAAAGACACAGGAATAAACCAAACATTTGAAATGGAATCTGTAATTTTTCATCTTTCTATCCTATTTTAAAATATATTTTCCTTGCCCTTCTGCCCCAAACATAGTTGAAAAGAATTCTTACTCGTGGCATTCAGAAATTTCAGATTCTTCAGGTGTAGGACTTCCTTCTGATTTCTTCCATCCAATCACGTATTTACTCACTGCTCCTTGTCTGTGGTATGGTTTTGAAACTGACCCAGAAATCTGTTGACTACTATTCTGCGACACTATATAGACTTTGGAGGTATCTAGAGAGCCACTCTTTTTAGAGCAATGTGTTGATGGGCTTCCTGAATGATGTGACCCACTGAAAAAGCAAAGGAAACACAGAAAACACCAAATCAAAAATTCTTCCCCATGTACTCAGATATAATTCTCAGTGTTCACTTTTACTCAAGTTAAAATCAAGGCAGCAGCATCAGTACAATAATTTTCTACATACTGCTTATATATGCGTATATATATCAAATGTCTTTGATGATAATAAAATAATAATGAGTTTTTAAAGCAAATAATGTCCAATTTAACATGCTGAAATGCCAACACAAACCATGATGTGAGCCAAAATTAAAGACACAGGCTTAATACAAATACATGGATTTCCATTTGCTTTTTTCAGTAAATATGTACATACACAAACATTATTCATAGTATAATTCAATTTATGTCAAGGCTCTATATAGGGAATTATCCCAAATATCTAAGAATTCTATGTCTCTTCCACTTCACACTGATTTTTCAAGCTTATGACAGTTTAAATTCAGTCCTTCATCCAGTACCAATCTGGATGATTTTAATAGTTTCTTTCACTACAAATAATAGCATCTAACCGACAACTCTCAAAATGATTCAAAACGAGCTAAATCAAACACTTCCTCGACGAGTAAAGTTGTTCTTTTCACCTTGGATGCGAAGCAACCAACGCATTCACAAACCAAGAGTCTGAGCTTAAATTAGAGACTGGAAACTGAAGCAGCAGCTCCTAACATTCATTGTTGATTTGCAAATACTAAACACATTGCTACTTTTTAATGTACAGGATTCATTCACAAAGGACCAGAAGAGGTTGTTGAGTCAAACACAAGCAGTGCACATGCACAGATGTCATTATATCTGATTAAACTGCATGATATGGAAGAAGCTTCAAACATCTCTCTTTTTCCCCACAAATGCAGAAACAAGATCAGGAGTTTTTGAGGAAGACAATAAATGAGGTGGTGTTAATAGCAGCATGATTGCTCTCATGCTTGTTATCCTTGCAAAAGTGTAAAGAAATTATATCAAGACATTTATATAAAGGCATAATCAGAATAATTCAGTTACAAAAAACTGAAGTCTAAAGGTGAAGAAAGTATTGAAGCATAACGTAAAAAACATATCAGACTGACAACAAGGACACTATCCAGAGTATTTTAGATTTTTCTATGTAACTGAACTCCAGAAAAACTGAACATCCAGCTTCATTCTGTACTTTTTAAATAAAAGGACATTTTTCTAAGAAATGAAATACTTATAGAAAGTTGCTTTTAAATGAGTTCAAAGCAATGGTTAGAATAAAAACTGTATATTCTCAGCGTCCAAATGGTACTGATGGTCTATGCGAGGAAAAAAAAACCTAAAGGCAACGGAGCTGTTTCAGCAACAGTAACCTAAAGGCATTTGATAATTCATGTGTGTACTTAATATAAAATAGGAGAGAGAAAGCCATTAACAACATAGCTGCAAGACATAGTGTTGTGCATAGCTCAAGTCAATCTTGTAGTTTGAAATAGTGTTTCACACAGCAGACTTAATTCTCAGAAATCAGTTAGTTTTAAGTGGTTCTTTATCTGATCATGTTAGAGAATCAAACCAACTGATGGCCAATTGAACTTAATTTATTCATAGAATCATCACAGAGTCATATAATCATGTTTTTTGCTCAATAAATTCAATTTTAATAAGGAAATAAGGAAAAAGCATTTATAGATCTGTGACTTTCCACTAGTCTGTGGACTTGCTTTTCAGTTTTATGCTGTTTAGCCATTGTAAAACAAGCTCACTGTTCAACATTTATAAACTAATTTTGAGTAAAAGTCTTGTTTAAGGTAGAGCTTCATCATTGCAAATTATGAACAATTAAGAACTCAATGTCAGACCAGTTGGAAAATATACATGGGATGTGGCAGTAGATAGCACATAAATATTAACATTCTTGCTTCTCTTTGAATGTTACAGTATTGCAACATCACAGTTATATAAAGAGATTTTTTTAAAAATAATATAAGCCTGCAGGTGCCATATAGGGGATGTCAGCTTTTAAAATGAACTGTAAAATCATTTATCACTCCAGGATAATTTGAAGGATGCTGAAGAAAAGTTTGAACAATACAGATGGGTTACATAATGCAAGTCTGACATTTTCTTGTGGTGAAAGGATTTGGAACACAGATTAGAAGCTGAACATCACTGTTGCAAAGTGGAATTGGTCAGTCCTAACAGGAGTTGCCACCTCAACTATAATTGCTACTTTGTAAATCCCTGGATAAACTCACAATCTATTTAATCTATGTATTTTTAATTGCTTTTTGAAGGAATCTATGGCATATTTATTCCAAATAAGTGATCAGCATAATACTTAATAGTTGCATGGAACCTTAATTATGAAAACAGTCACACAAGTGCTGAAAATACATATTTTAGCCATCAGAAAACAATTACAGCCCTCTATGATGAAGTCGCAGAAAAGAGCATATTTCTTCCTAATCTGTAAAACTAAATTTCAACACATACAAAGCAGAGTAAATCTGAAGCTTCTACATTATCACAGATGTGGTAAAAGCTTAGTGTGAAACTATGTACCTACTTTTCACAAAAAGAACTATTGTACCAGTCAAAGCTATTCCCCATAAATTATAAAGAAAAATTCTAACACTCAAAGTAAGCTTTGAAGACTAATTCAATCAAGCATATGAAGAAATAAGAATATTATTTTGTTATTTTCCTGTCCTAATTGACATTCAGAAGAAAAACGAGATGAAAAGAAGAACAATTTCCTTCCATTACTTTACAGAATAAAAACTTCCACACATAGACCAAAGTCTCAAATTTAAAGTCATCATTCAATGGGAAATGGGAGATAAAGACAACCAGCTGAAAAGTGTACTTTCACAGTTTCCTTTTAACAGGTGTACCATACATACATTCACTCCATTGGTAACAAAAAGAAGAGCGCAAACACAGCTAGAAATACAGCTCAAGATACAAAAGCGTAAAGTATACACCACAACAAGGCAAATTAGAGTTGATGGTATACAATGCAGTTTCACTTTATGTAAAAATTGCCAATTTTAATTTCTTTGATTCTCTTCATCATTTATCTGATGTAATTTGTTGCCCTGTACTAAATAAGTCTGTGAAATAAGTTCTAGGGGAAAAAAATATAGGGGAAATATAGGGGAAAGTCTGATGTCAAAGTAACATGACTGGGGTGTTTGGACCTACAACCCTCCTTACAACCAAGAAAGATGAGGAAAGACTAATTTTAAATTCACATGAATGACACAAAGTATCATGAAAGCACCTTATGTTTCCTTCGTCATCAACGAAAGTAAAATTGTTTTCTAACATTCTAGCTCTCAATCACTTGTAGAATATCATGGGATTGTCAAAGATTAAATCCAAGAAATTTCAGTAAACTTCTCAGTAATAGCACATGGTGAATTCCCAAATAGAAGTGAAATTACTGTCAAAACATATCCTAGAAATACATTGAGAGAATGACCTTCACAAATACTACAAAAACAAATACAACTGAAGAATTCAATTTATTATACCACTTCATTTTTAATCAGATTTTTCTCAGCTTTGAAAACCTAAGCAATTTGTACAAAGCTACACACACATTCTTGATCAGATCTGAAAGAAGGACTAGTCATGCTCCTTAAGCAGACTCATCAAAAATTACCTCCTCACAGGTATTTGAATACAACAAAAATCAATACCAGGTATGTTTTCAAAGAAAAGTGAGGGAAAAAAAATTCAATAACAACAACAACAAAAAATTATCTGAACATCAATCTATAAACCCAAATCCCTAATTTATAAGAAATACATACCTGGAATGAGAAGAGATTTCACTGAGGTCTCCCATACTTCCTTCAGCCGTATGACTGGCAGAAATAGCAGAGGCATAGCTATGAACAGCATATATCTTAGCTGGATCCTCATCTAGCCCAGCAGTTTCAGAAGACTCAGTCCATTGCTCAGTACGACAATGTACTCCAGACCTGCTGCCAGCAAGATGCAGAGGGGCCAGAAGAGGTGCAGATATACAAGGAGCTGTATCAATTCCACTGTCAGTTGAAGCTCCTTTTATATATGTTAATCCAAGCAGCTCAGGATCCATAAGATCTCCAGAACCAAAGTGCTTTTCATCACTGTTGCTGGATGTATTGCTAGATAGGGTATTGCTGCTTGAGTGGCTTGAACAGCTTTTATCTCCAATCTTAACAGCAAGAGGAAAACAAAAAAGAACCACCTCAATTTAATTATAAAATCTTAATGTAAATTACTGAATTTGTGCCATTCAAAGATTACTTTATTATTTTTTTATGGAATGCTATAATTGCAAAGTATGAAAAAACAAATTATACCACTAGTTTCTATTAAATAATTGCATAATTGCTAAACAGACTAGGATAGGACTAGAAGGAATGGCCTCAAGTAGTGTCAAGGGAGATTCAGGTTGGATATTAGGAAAAATTTATTCTCAGAAAGAGTGATCAGGTGCTTGAATGGGTTCCCCAGGGAGGTAGTTGAGTTATCGTCCTACATTTAGATGTGATACTAAGGGACACAGTTTAATTGGGAAATATTGGTGGTAGGTGGACAGTTGGACTAGATGATTTTGGAGGTCTTTGCCAACCTTGGTGTTAAATTGAGGCAGCAAATAAAAGTGAATACTAGGCTCTATTTCCATCTTATATTGCAAATCATAAGATCTCACTTGAATTTTTTGATTATAGGACTTGCTTAACATCCATAAAATTGAATTTCTAGAGAGTTGAAACAAGCATTTGCTACAGCTAGCAGCATTCACAATTATTTGTTTAAACAATTTCTGCTGCAAATCTGAAGATCACAGGAGAATGAATTACCCTTGGCTTTTTCTCTGTGTGGGTGAAATACACTGTTTATTGAATCAAATCCAATTGGACGTATGGCCGCTTGAATTCCAGCCAAGTGCAATGTATGTGTACCAGATGAAAGTAACTTAAGTAATACGCCTCCAAACTAAGTATGGCAACTGAAGTGGAAGAATTATGTCATGCGTTTGTGTCAATAAAGTTTTTGTGTTTTGCTTTGCTTTCCTAAATAGAGATTTTATAGAAAGCTGAATTAACTTATCTTTGTAACATCTCTGAGTAGCCAGAACAAAGGCAGATGGGCTTCTACTAGGCAGAATATAAATGGGAAGGGAGACCCTTATTTTTTCAATCTTTTATTTTTTAATGAGATTTCCCTCCTAGCAGATGTATATACACATAGTTGTTACTAATACAGTAAAGCAGTTTGAAAAACCAGACTCCAGAAATAACATTCCCATTCCATATAGGAATTAACGTGCCTCAGAATTTGAGAAAATTATTTAAAAAAAAAAGTAGGGGTTGTATTTGCATTTCTTCTATCCCTTACAAAATGGCCATGACCTTAAAAACAACAGACCAACTGATAAAAATACAAATGAGCAGTTTTCCCAAGGAGCTACTTTGGTAAGTGTCCAGCAAAAAGGACTCTTTTTCTATTGTAAATGTAAAACAGAACCAAAGTGGAAAGGAACAGGAAAAGAAAAGGTCAAATAAATAAATAAATAAAATAAACTACAGGATAGACATTTTCTATAATACTTAAAGAATCCACAGAGTATTGTATGTTTACAGTGTGAATTTCACTGGCTATCCCAAAGCTAATAGCTATTTGGCAAATCGAGTTGAATAAACAGGGAATGCACAGAAGAATGTTAAGGTTCCTTTGCAAAGTGAGGTAAAGACTTACATGAGAAAGTTTGTTTGGCGACTCCTTGCCACTGCCATCTTTTTGTAAAGCCCGGTCTTTGTAGGAGCTGAGGATTTTGGTCGATGGTGCATGCCACTTGGTTTCTGCCATAAATAATTGTGTTTTAATTTCTGAATGCTAAAAAGATGAGTATACTGTACAAAGAAAAGAGCACATGGCTTAGCATCAGGTTTCAAACCTGTACACTCTTTGGAATCAGAGATGTGCAACTTTGCAGAATCATTAAAATCTAATTTTTCAAACATAATTAAGTGAAATTCAACCTGTTTTCCATCATTCATGATGCTTTCTGATGTTCAGGAGCTCATTTGGATATCCAGATATCCCACACCATATTCTATTAGACTGTCTGTAACAGCTCCGGCTTTCACTGTCATACAACCACTTTTTGGCTATAAAACTGTTACATCAGAAAGTGGCTGCACTTCTGCAAGTATTACAGTGGAAAGAGCACTTATTTTTGAGATTTGGTATTTGTTATTACCAGAATGTCTAGTTCCTTCCAAAGTTTCATCTCGTTCTCTGCCACCTTCAATCTCCAGTGAGCCTGAACCTTGGTGTTCATGAAGCAAAGGGGATTGGCACCTTTTAACACAAGCAGAAAATCAAGCCATTTGTTTTTTTTTTCTAGAAAAATATTTACATGATAAACAACACTTTCTACTCTTCAAAGAAAATATTTTGTAAAGCGATTTGTTTAAACAGTCATTATTTCTCCCACCAAGCAAGTATAGTAACATTTCCAAACACTGAATAGACATATTTACATACAATTTTCTCAACAGCACACTTATGTCCTTCAGTGTGAATAGACCACTATGACTTTGAGCTTTAAAAAGAAATGCATTCTTGGAGCTACAGTAGCCAAAGGGTTTTGCAGAGGATAACTATGGTAATGCATACTTAACTGCTTAATAAACTAAGCCCCACAGAAAATAATGGTATTTTTGCAAGGTTTCACACTCAGAACGTGTTTGCTAGATAAAATGCTTTATATTTTGTAAACTTTGTTCCTTCACTTTAACATAACATTATGAATGATTGTCTGCACTCATTTTAGAATTAAATCTATTTGAGATTGCAATCTGAAATACAAATTCTACTGTAAAAATTGCAGAAATTAAGTTATTTCACAAAGCAACATAACAAAAATAAAATCGCAGTTAGTAATCTCTATGCCAGTAAAAAGACACCAGATAGATTTTTATGCATATACTGTGGAGAAAAAAAAAAAAAAAGTTTTGTTTTAAATATTTGCACATATTTAGCTGTCAGAGATTTCAGTGAACAATCTCCAAGATACAGCATTTACATCTGCACACACAAACAGCTATGCCAAAGGAATTTTTTGCATAGGCAAGACGATGCTTTCAATATTTACATTTTTTTCTTACAGTTTCCAAAAGCCAAATGCTTTTTCATTACACTGTCTAAATGCTGCCACATCCCAACATTTTATAAGCATTTCAGCTAACCTTGTACAACAAAGTGATTCATTTAAAGTAATGAACAGATTTTTTCATGAAATATTTTTAAAACTTGAACAGCATGTTGGTTTTTTTATTCATGGATAACTAATTTCTAAAACTTTCAGCACCAAGGGATTAACAGGCACGCAAACATAACACCTACATATTGCAATAGCCTTAAAGGGAGATGATACTTATGAAATACTGTTACTTTTTTGAGGAGAGATACTAGGGAATGGATACCACTGGAACAAGAACAGTAGGAAATAAAACCTTACAAGTCTATAAAGATCATTTGTAAATTAAATACTCCCCCGGTGAAACTAAAGGAGGAGAAATCACTATATGGTCTCAGTTCTGAGTTACCAGCTGATTTCTGTCCTGTCCTGGGAAAGCAGAACTAAGAACTGTTTGTTATTTACCAAAATTGTAAAATAATAGTTTGGTCCTAAAGAATTAAGTAGTATGAGTAAAATTTTATTAGCATACAGATTAAACTACAAAACTCAGGAGTCCTAAAAGTTTACTAATAGATTTCCCAAATAAATCTATGACATGGAACATCCATATGAAATTTGTTTCAGAAAAAAGATGCATGGGAGATTCAGAAAGATTAGAAAAATAAAATAAAATCAATACCCATCATATCCCACTTGCTGTCTCCATTGGCTGCTACCACTGGGACCTGGGTCACTGGAGGAAGACTGGTTGCTTGGAGAACTTCTGTAATGTTGACTAGAGTCATTAACAGTGCACTGAAATATTCATAAAGTTTCAGACTTGAACTATTGGTTTTTTTTTGTTTTTTTTAAATATACATTCACTTTTAGAAACAAAACAGATAAAATATACTTCATGTACATTCTTTTTCAGAATTTTCTAAATACATCACTTATTTCATGATTAATCACAAATTTTCATTTTTTCCTCTGAACAAGTGGGATTACATACAAGTCTGAGCAGGTGGATTAGACCTCTAAATTCATGCATAGGAACCTCTGCCTTTCTGGGCAGCTGAAATGCACTGCTGAAATTTGTTTTTGATCAGTCTCCAACTCTTCACTTCTGTACATATCAATCCATAACTCTGCAATTTCACTCAGCTACATTATCTCAAGTTTTTTTCAAGATAATATCTAGGAATGAATTTATATACTCATGAAAGTAGAGTTGGAAGTTGGAAAAAGGTTGTTTTAGATTTAAGCACCACAATTTCCCAAGGACATGAAGTTCAATATGCAACTTCAGAGTTCAGCTTGAAAATTTCAAAGACATTTGCTTTATATTTTGTCTAACCATCAAACACACGTATGATAAACATGTAGACGGTTGAGTGCCTAATTCTTCAGCATATCCCATTCTGATAAGCACTGACAGGATTAAGCCTTTCACAATCAAGCAAATTATTCTGTAGGCTACAGTTGAGTTTCAATTGTGTGTTCTTTCCTCTTATTGCCAAGAATGCAGCACTTCTTGCTTAAATGAACCAGCTTTAAAGAAATGCTAAATTATCATCCCACACATTTCGAGCCTTCAAACTAATATTTAGGACATTATCCTCAAACCTTGGATATTGTCAACCTATTTCCCAGACAAGTGCCTACTTATTAGCCTGCTACACAAAAAGTAGCAACAAAATCAGGACCACAGAAGTGTATTCTGAGGATGCCTCACTGCTCGTTCACAGAACAGTTGCATCTGTCTGATACTTGGAATGGATTCTGGACTCCAGGTGAAAGAACGTGCTCATCTACCACTGTGACTCAAAGACTAAAGTATACAGAATCTTCTTGGTGTGAAAAGCCAAAAAAGTGAGTCCAACTGAAGCTTCACTTTTAGACACTAATTAGGAGAAGCTGTCACAGAACTAGGCGAATTGTAAAAGAAGTAGATTTCAAACATATCTGTGTATTTCTCAAGGACAAATTACAGGCAAAACTTTGCTCAACACAAAGACATTTAAATTGCCTTCTCAAAGAACTCTCCCCAGGAGGAGATCTAGGAGTACAGGCATTCAGCTCCCAGTTTTTAATTTCATCTTTGGTCTGGGCACCTAACTTGTCACATGTCACAGTAGTTAAACTGTGTTTAACTGTAGTTGCTGCTGATGCCTTTTGCTATATCTAGCCTTTTAAAGCTTTTTGCTGTATCTATAAACATTTCTGTTGTTTCTTCCTCTTTTTATCTGTAAAAAGAACCTCTTTACCACAGACTTCAACGTTAGCTCATTTTCAGATTATCTGCGATAACTTCCTTTTTTTTTTAATCAACCTACTTTTCCCTGCCTTCACTCCTCTTCAGTTTGACTAAAATGGTATTGCAGCTCAACCCTCTAAAAACTCTTCATCATTTTCCTAGTCTGAGTACACATTTTCACATTTACAAGACTATAAGTACTAATCAACCTCACTTCATATTCTTGTTTTAATCACATCTCTCTGTCAAGCTATTAGCTATGCCTCTTGCTATGTGGAAACGACCTTGCCGATTAGAAACATTTCATGTTTCAGGACCCACATATCATAATTGATCGTTTCTCTCCTTTTTCATTATTTATATTCTGTATCATGCCTTCCCCAGAATAGCACTCATGCACTGCACTTGATTTGTTTAAGTAATCTAGAGATTGCTTCATGAGAAGAGAGAGCCTCTGTATTCCAAGCTTTTTATGTGCTTCATGGAGAGTAAGAATTGAAATTTATGTTTGTGAACATTTTTTGGAAATGAGTATTTGGAAACAAAATTTGGAAATTTGGAAATTTCAGAAATTTTTCATTCTTTCCCTATTCATTCACATTTAGTATGCCTAACAAATACTCATCAAACCTGATATATTTGAGGAACATTCAATGTATTTTTTCCTTATGTTAGATTTTACCAAAAATATCTGTAATGAGATGTCAGAGCTCTTCTACTAAATAAGGTAGACAGTATAGCAGTAACAGCATTTAATGATTTCAGCCAGAAATTTTAAGGATGTACAAGAATCGTACTTCAGATTTTTATATAATTTAGCTATTCCAAACATGCAATATTATATCCTTGAAGATGAGAACTACATCACTCCAGAGAGAAGGACATTAAGCAGAAATAATGCGAACAATAAGGGACAGAGAGCACAAGACCTAAAGTTTTCCTAAATAATTAAAGATGTATGTATTTACAATTTTTAAAAAGAAATTCTTTTGTTATGATTACAATTGAATTAGAACAGAGCTAAGATTTAAAGATACCATCCCATACTCTAACATACATTATATATTCAAATCACAAGCTCTGCTTTGTTTAATTAAAAGCAGGGGAAAGCATAAGGACTAGTAATGAGTTACACAATCCTTTGAAACTATGCAAATAGTGTGGTAATGAGATTAAATCATTCATTTTTAGAGGGATGGGTTCATTTTATTTACACTCTTAATTGCTTAAATAGGATCCCAAAAGGTGGAGGACAGGACATTGTTTAGATCAAAAAGTAACAAGGGTTTCCTACTTTATTGATTTGGGACTAAAGGGGAATGTTGGTGTCCTCATCAGTAGGATCCTCTTAGAGTACACTCTTATCACGAACAACAGAAGTCACTTGTTTCATATAGAATGAACTGTAATCAATTAATTCCCTCTGATACAATCTCAGAATTACTGTTGAAACTCAACAAAATAGCATGAATCTTCAAAAGTTGTTTAAAATCAAGTACACCAGAGTTCTACAGAACAGAGATATCTAAGGCATACTAGGAAAATGATGGACATTAAAGGTATACTACCTTGCACCATCTGGCAGTTTCCTATCAAAAGAAGTGCTGCGAGGAATGGCTGTCTGAGCCTGCTGGAGAAGCTGCTGGCACTGCAGTCTGTCAGATGTTCCTAGGATTGGAGAGGCACGAGAGAGAGGCTGCCCAGCGGGAGTCGGCACCCGATGCCAAGTGGTATTTCTTCTGAAAGGGGTTTTATACTCACATGGGGTGCCTTCACTGTCAAGTTTGTATTCCACCATGGGTATACGACAAAGTTCTGAACAACCCCTGTTGGATGAACAAAAATCATGATCAGCCTCACTGGAGAGAACAGAAAAAACAATCTTGTAGTCAGATGTACAGGCATTTTTTTTCTGGGTGCTTAGAGGCGTTCATATAGCGTTAAGCTGTCCTTTGCATGCTGCAAAGCTATCATGCCAAGCAGGTGGGAAACGTCAAAATAGAGGACTCGCTCTCCTGTGCTCAAAAGTTTTGATCTCTCTCATTTCTCTTCAAAAAGACGAAAATATTAAGCTTTAATTTATATATTAATGTGAAGAACACTTCTCCTATGAAGACAGGCTGAGGGAGCTGGGATTTTTCAGCCTGGGGAGGAGAAGGCTCTGGGGAGACATCATTGCGCCTTTTCAGTACTTGAGGGGAGCTTGTAAAAAGCAGGGAGAGATCAACTTTTTTCAGAGTGTGATAGTGATATGGCAAGAGCGAATGGCTTCAAACGAAAAGAAGGGAGATTTAGGCTAGATTTGAGGAGGAAATTCTTTACTCAAAGGCTGGTGAGGTGCTGGCACAGACTGTTCAGCGAAGCTGTGGATGCCCTATACCTGGAGGCATCCAAGGCCAGATTGGGTGGGCCCCGGGCAGCCTGAGCTGGTGGGTGGCAGCCCTGCCTACAGCAGGGGGTTGGAACTAGATGATCTTTAAGGTCCCTTCCAACCCAAGTTATTCTATGATTCTATGACCAGAGTTTCACATAATAAGAACTAGTAGACATAAGGCATTTAGAAATCAGCAAACATCAAGTTCTTCAATCAAAGTTTGTTTGTTTAAATTTGGTTTGTTGGTTTGTTTAAATTTCATAAATTCAAACAATTTCTTAATGTAAAATTTACATATCTGAAACTACAAAACATGTTTGATGCTTTCCAGCAATCCAGACAATCCTTAGTGATATTGAGAAACAGCCTTTATAATCTGTCCTGTTCCCACTGACTACACTGTGATGTCAGTGATTAACTTGTAAATAAATATGTTTTTCCATTTATTTCTAAATAGTACTTCCTAATATTCCTCTGGGAGTCTCCATGCTGTGAAGACAAATTGTGACGCAGAAGAAAGAGACAAGCTGGAAAGCTTACAACTTTGGTTTGAATCTTACAGCATCATTAAATACTACTAGCATTCCCAGAAAGCTCAGATAACATTAGTGACACTGTTGCCCAAAAGATCAGTCTGCCTCTAGGGTATTTTCTGCAGACTCAAGCTGGACTTGTGTTAACAATAATTGTTTCACCAATTCATTAACAGAGATTACCAATGATTACCACTGCATTTATATTTCACATTCTCACAATAGTACCTATTGTTTCTCTGCTTGATAGATAGTATGTACTAATTTAATTCTGTGAACAGCCTAAAAAATTCTATTGATGCACACCAAGTTAAAGCAAGAAACAGTCAAATTTCACTACTCTGTCCTTGAGCTCAGTCCTAATCAAAATTTGCTTTTGTTGAAAACTCAACATTCATAATTTCTGACTAAATTAAAAACGCTTAGAGAAATTGTTATAAAGTTGCATAAAATGTTTATAAAGCGTGTACAGTCCTAACCTTGAAAATACTTTGGGACAAATGACTTAACACAAATACACAGTGCATATTCGTATAGATACTATCCCTCAAGGCTTCTCAACAAAACCTTAAAGTAATACCTTCACTCCCAGTGTTTCAGTAAGCAGATCAAAATTAGGTATTATAAAAATGTTAACAATGCTATTCAAGGTTGCTGAAAAGAAGACGTGTATAACTTTAACAACTGCACTCCACATATTCTGTACCTACCCAGTGTAAACCACCAAATGCTTCTGGCTGCTGAATTTTATGGTACTTGAATAGGAACAGTGTTTATCATGTAGCATAAAAACCTCAGACCCCAAAAGAGGTAAAGAAAGAATTAAAGCCATAATACAGAGGATAAGCATTGTGGGTGCATATTCGTAGCTAGTGCAGGGCATATCGTGATAAAGATGAGATAAAGAAGGGTCACGGGAGTACTCTAAAACAGAACTCAGAATTCCTGATTTTTCAAGCTTATTCTATGGCTAAAGCAAACAAACGAAACAACAACAAAAAAAAGCCAACAACCAAGCACAACAGAACAAAAACCAACAACAAAACAAACCAACAAACAAAGGACAAAAAACTCAACAGTAAAATCTAATGAGTAAACTCTGATGATGTAGTTGGACATAGAATTTCTTGTGTTATTTTAAACAAAATCTAAGGAATCATGCTAACACTGTAAAAGAACATTATTTCTGCAAACTTAAGAACTCAGAAGGTAAGAAATCTCAAAATTAATTCTGCATACAACTTCATTTTACTTTCTTTCTGTCAGTGGAGTGAAACAACATATTTAGTATTTTGCTTTTAGCAGAGTTCTTTATCTCATTCCATGCATATAAAGATCAGAGTTCGCTGGAGAGATGCTGCTTAATATGAAATTATCATTATGATTGAATATGTTAGATATTAAGTTGTATTTCTGTACTGATTTACGATGAGAAATTATTTGATAGGTGCATAATTTCACTGGGTATAAAACTCATTTCCTTCCAGTTCCTCTTATCACAAAGCATCAGAGAATGGCTTTCTGTTTTAGCATACCTACAGAGGTAAGAAGACCTTAACGGTCTCCTATCACAGAAAAAAAATGGAGCTACAGAAAAACCAATATTATAAAATTATCAATTAATTTCAGAAGATCAATTTGGTCTCTCCCACCTCCCCTGCATGAATGTCACATTTATTCAGACTGCCACTTCAAACCAGTTCATTTATGAATATTTCTAACATTGTTTCACCCTTCTGAAAAGTCATGGAGCACACATATTGGATTCCTAGAATGAGGAATCATGTGGCAAAGGCAAGTTAAGCAAATTGCACTGAATTGCACGAACATTTATACTGGAGAAGCCTAAATAGAAAGAACTTCTCCAGTGCAACATTCCACTTCTTATAAGACCATCTTTCTCTTCATAAGATTCCACATATTATTCACTATGTGCAACAAATGAGACCAATGTCTAAGGCACAATAGCCTCTAGCAGTGCAACCTTGATTCATTTCCAAAGCAGGCGATAACATTATGTGAACACAGAAGGTTCTCAGAGGAAAAAAAAAAAAAACAACCATAAGATTGATTATTCAATTAAAGATTTTCATAAAACCTTATATACAAAACAAACAGAACAAAGAGTGTGTAGTTGATAAAGCAACGTTAATATTAGTTTAGCACACTGTGTAATTCTTCAGGCAGTCATATTCATTATTTGAATAGGAAGTTCAACAATTAAGCTGGCAACTATTTCAATCATTCTTCTGCTGATTTCTATGTATTATTTCATTCATTCCTTCATTCTCATAAATCTTAAGTGTTAAAAATAAAACATTCCCTCTCCAACTTTAATTATTAGGGTATTGATTTCACAGTTTGTCTTAGTAATTGAGAAAGGCAACTATCATTATATCCCTTATTAATTACTTTGTAGGGGTTTTCTAAAGTATTGTAAGAATATCCATAGGCTCTAAAAGCAAAATAGATTGTTACTAACATCAGTTTGACTTAGCTTGCTAACTAAATCCTTATAGCATGATGTAAGAACAGCCAACAAACTCTCCATCAAAGAAAATTATTTTCAATGCCTTTAAACAAGTATTTTTACTGTACTAAAATATATTCCCCTCGAGGACAAATTACAATGAGAGAGGAATAAAAAAAAAATTAAAAAAAGCATGAAAATCTAAAAATGTTACTTTGGAATCCAAAATGGACCCCACCTTCTTAACTGTCACAAAAATCCCACGATACTCCATGGCTAAACTGAACTACTTTATATGACTTCCTTTGTCACATAAGATTATTTATTTTAATGTAAAAGTGCCCAACTATTCAATTCAGCATTTATATGGAAAGTAATAATTTACTGCTTCACAAACACTGGCTAAAGAACAGATTGGCAGTTTACTGAGATACATAAGACCATAACTGTAACTCTGTAGATCAGAAACAATGACAACAAATTATTTCATGCCTGTAATCTAACAGGGATTTTATTTATTTGTTTATTTAGCTATGGAACTGTTATCTTGTATGAAAAATAACTGATGAAATTAAATGCTATTTCCTATTAAATACTTGGACCATTATCTAGCTTCTATTTATAAAATCACAACTTATTCCACTGGATAAAGATTATAGAATTTGTGCCAGTACACCATGATATATTTACTTAATTACTTTTTAAACTTTTAAAATTCAGTTCAAAGAATATGTAAAGATAAATGTGTATTTTAAGATCTTAAAAATTTATTTAAAACTTACATTATTGGGCTCCATAAATTCATATAATGAGAATGTTATTCTCAGTTTCCAAAGTTATGAAAGTCTAGAGATGAAAGGACACAAAAAGCATTGCTTGATCTAGTAAAGCAATCATGCAGACATCAGTTTAACTATTTAAAAAACTGATTTTAGGTGAAAGTTATTTTACACTGTGGCATTTGAGGTTGTCGAGAGCCCACAAAAACATGATTTTTAATTTTTAGATTTCACTCATCCTTACGAATGATTTGTTAGCATAACAAAACCGGAATAACTGGTTACAATTCAACATTAGGTCGATGTGTTGCAGATCTGAACTACTAAGGGGGGCTGTAGCGATAGAAAGGTATTTATGGTGATCATCAATTTTATTGCAATTCTGTTGTTATCACCATTTCAAATCAATATATATCATCCTGCTCAATAAAGAGCTATTATCTACATGTGCCAGTACAATAACTAGTTACATTCCTCCAACTTAAACTTTGAAAGTAATCTCTTCTATTACTGTATATGTTTATTCTTACTCTCCAGCAATTCTCACAAGGTGTCACAAGGAGAACTCGCCGTGCATCTATTAAATCCATATGATAAAACAGATTGATTTCATATAATTGTATAGATTTGATTAAAAAGCAGAATTTATTAGCTTAGTTTTTCTTAGACT